TCCCCTAACTCATTAGAGTTTACATCAGAGTGAAATTTTATTTGGCTGTAATTTAACATCAATTTAAACATGCTATGTAATGAAAATGTGGAATAGACTACATAATCTCATAATGAAGGTGGTGCGGCAATATTTTTCAGTGGTTTTCTATGATGCCACATATGATGGGCACATGACTTTGGAGGTGTCTACGGACAACGGCGGCTCTTCAGCTTAGAAATGGAGATAAGGACCCCCCCCCCCCCCCCCCCCCCGAGTCAGACATGATTACACATCATGTCAGGGGAAACCTTTACCTTTACCTTTTCTATGGTAGACACTTTCTATAATGGACATGTAAAATTGCACAGAGCAGCCTGGGACAAAACCTCTCATTCCCAAAGGCTAGTTTTTAAATTGTATGAAGCATTTAGACTGGGAAATATTTCATACACATGCGCACACACTGTCCACCACCTCAAACAAACATGGCCTAATTTGGGAATCCGCTGACGAATTATTACTACTATTACTATTATTATTGTTTATTTGTTTATTTATTTTATCCCACTTTTCTCCCATGGGCGGGGCAAACAAGTTATAGCTTCTAATAAAGCATATTTTGTTTTAATGAGAAGAAAAGCTTCGTGGTCCTGGAGGCCAATGTTCATTCCCAGAACTATTCACACACTAAAAGAATCCTGTTGCTATCTCTGATCACTGATCAGTCATTGAGATTCCTCCCTGTATCACCCTCCTTCCCAATTGGGGCAGTGGGAGACATACAAAAGGACAACTTTGTTATTGCCAATCACTGATCTTCCAATTGAAAATAAAATGGCACACTGGGAAATCTTACTACACCACATCTCCATATGGTTCTCCCAGGATCATCTGCATGCCACATTCTGCTCAGAGACTTCTTTCCCTTGCTTGGATGAATATAAACTGCATATACAATAGAGTCTCGCTTATCCAACATAAACAGGCCAGGAATGTTGGATAAGCAAAAATGTTGGATAATAAGGAGGGATTAAGGAAAAGCCTATTAAACATCAAATTACGTTATGATTTTACAAATTAAGCACCAAAACATGTCTTACAACAAATTGACAGAAAAAGCAGTTCAATACATGTTAATGTTATGTAGTAATTACTGTATTTACAAGTTTAGCACCAAAACATCACAATTGTAGTGAAACAGCTGTGGATCCAGGCAGGAGGCAGACTGCATTGGATAATACACAACGTTGGATGAGTGAAGGTTGGATAAGCGAAAGACTACTGTAATAGATTCAATAGCTTGGTATTCCAGCTCAGACCTCCTTTTTTAACCTAAGTCGAGACAACCATTAACTTTCAGGATGGCTTTAAGCCATGCCATCCTCTCCATACAATTCATAACCTATGCCTTTGATTCTTTGCTTATATCCAGTAGTTCTGTCTTTCTCGATTTTGTGTTTCTGAAAATTCAACTGGGAATTGTGGTACAATTCCCAGTTCAAAAGTTCCACTAGTTTGTAATAAAAACCATCACCTAGAAAAGGCATTCTTACTGATGAGAGCACAAGTATTTCTGAAGACTTTGATGTGATTTCTGATTAAATCAGGTGTTACCCCTTAATCTCAGGCACGTAACACTTTTTAAAAGGTTTTTAACATTGAGCGTGCAACTAACCACAAAACACACATTCCTAGCTAGTCACATTTTGGTTGATTTGAGAGGAAACAGCAATGCATACATGTGTGAGTGGGCTAATGTACAATTGGAATATATTAGCTGAACCTATAGGTAGTCATCCTATCCTCTAAACACCAATCACATTTGTATTCAAGGTGTAATTAAACTACATCCAAAATTTAAAGAAAAAACAGCTTTGCTTAGCTTTTACTATGGCATACATCAAAGAATTTGCCTTTAATGAGAGAAAGAGGGAGAGGAATTGGAGGGGAAATTTTATGAAGTGTTGCAGATACCATCTCCCATTCTGTGCTGGGCTTTAAGGGATGTGAATGGTCTTTTAGAGGTTAAAACAAAAGTTATAGGCGCTCACTGTTTAAGTAAGGCATATGACAATGAGATTCATTTAGTATTTTCCTTGATATCCTTTTTTTTACAGATAGTCAAAATTACCTCCAATACTGTTTTCACTGTGCGCTTTGTGACATCAAAGAGATGGATATGTGCAGGCAGGTAAGAAATGCCTAAAAGGAAAGTTCAGCTATGAGACTAATTCCATACCAAGTGAAGTACAAGTTTCAACATTTTTAAGCACAACGAACACCCCTTTCATGGGTAGTAGTCATCATTTATATTAATGGTGGTAAAAGTGCAGCTTTAGGAGAAACGTAGCCTTCTCTTCCCCACTCCAAGCCATGTTTTTAAATTCTCCAAATTTCTTCAGCTCTCCCTTCTTCTGGCCAACTAAGAAAGAGGTGAACTGCATCTCATAGAAGGATCCAAGAGTAGCAATTCATTTTTTAAACAGGTTGCAGTTATTAATACTATAGTACACCCGCCTTTCCAGTATCCAAGTTTTCATGTATCCATGATCAAAAATATTTCCGCCTTCAAAAGTATTTTTGAGCCCATCAGTGTCCTCCAGTGTGATTCTATGTGGCATCTTTCCAGATCAAGTCCAGTTAAAATATAGGGGTCAGTATTATCCATGATTTCAGCTACCATGGCCGGGGGTGGTGGTGGTGGTGGACTTGGAATGCTTTCCCCACACATAAGGGGTTGTACTGTTTAAAAGATTTTTTATTAAAATGTTTTCCAGAACCAGAAATACACATCAAGCCACCTGTGTTTTGGGCTTTGTTTTCATTTTGTGGTATTTTGACAGTCCATGCAACCACCCTGGATAGAAATTGGGCTGCTATACCTCCCAGAGTTCTCCTTGCCTGATCTGTAGTCTATAAAACTGAAGCTTTCATAAACATCAAAAGTACTGTGTACAGCAGCAGCAAAAACTAATGTATGAAGCCTTCAGTACTATATTGAAACCATAAAGTAGTGTGCCAAGGTGCCAGGATAAACATACAGATACCATTACACCACCTCCCAGAGTAAAATATTAGACTCCTGTATTTTACCGAATCTAAGAGAGCATCGAATATAAGGCACACCCCATTTTTGAAGCTTCAATTTTAGGAAAAAAACAAAAGTTCTTCTAGGATTTCCTCTGCATGCACAGTATCTTTATTGTTCGTTTCAATAAGTCTTTGTAGTGCAATTTTTCCTGTGCAGTGAGGTTGGCACATGAAGAAACTGGCAAGTTATCTTTCTGCAGAAGTCTATGGTCCCATTGCGGACAGCGGAAGCAAGAACTGGCACTGAAAAAATACTAATAAAAAACCATCTGGCTGAGGGGGCTGGCAGAGCCATTTGGGGTCAGGGCACTTCATCCTCTATTGAAGGTAAGAGGATTTTGCAATACCAAATCGAATGTCCCTTAACTGGAAAAAAGCACACAGTAGAATGGTAAAATATGGTACTTGCCTTATAAAATTATTTGTGATGTTTCCCACTAATTATATCTGCATGTGTTCTTACATGAAATTGGCAGAAGACAGAAAGGGGATGAACAGACCAAAAAAAAGGAATGTTTGTCACATACTACTGCAAAATGAGGTACATTGAAACTGCATCCCTTCCAATGTTACATGTCCATGTTTTTTTATTAGAGGTATTCAAACTGTTCAACATTAGAGAAATTGCGTTTCTTACCTCCAGTAAAGTTCACATTTGTTTCTTTCAATTTGAGCCATTTAATTTATGCAAGTATGAGTTTTTAGTAGTCTTCAGGAAATAAGTTCCTTTTTATTTACACAGTCATGTACAGATTCTAATGGACTTTTAACTTGCCCGTCTTGCTGAGAACAGCAACGTCAAGCAGCACGAGTTCGTCTTGGGGCCAATTCCCATAGTTGCCATTTGACGTATATGTTATTGAACTCATGTCCCAAAATAGCAACACTGGCATACTCAAGCCCATTTTCAGAGTTTCATTTCTCAGGGAGTACAATAGAATATAACATCTGGAGGTCAGGCAAATGCCTAAAAGAATGTCACAGGAAGCAATCCATCCTTGTTCAAGAAACTATCTCACATACCAGACAGTGCTTTTAAACAGCAAGCTCCAATCAGAACATTATAAACACATTTAGACTGAATGAGCATCCAGCCACAAACAGACTTTTTTACTGCTCAATAAAGATGACAGTTTTGTGGAGTGGATTCCAAAGTCTACTTCTTTTCATTTGAAAGGGCACACTGGTGACATTTGGCAGCGTTGTCCTGAAATTCATCACACCCTTAATCTCACACATGAGGCAATATGAAACGGTGCAGAAAACTTGAGACAGATGGATTCTGGCAACAAGCTTTCTTCAATGGGTCCATTAAATTCAGACATGTAAAGAGATAATGTGAACCATCCTACCTCTCCTTTTCAGCAGGAACAAAATTGATAGTTGCCATAGCTGATCCATAATACCAGTCATCAAGTTAACAATCCAAAAGCAGTGTGTAGGCAGCTTCTACATGAAGAAGTGGCCAAAGACATTGAAATAGTGATTTGAAAACTTGGGGTCTTAGGTGATGTTGGATCTCTGGTTCCGAAGTTCTTTATTGGACTCTGAGAATCCAATAAAGGATTCTTAGAGTCCAGAAAGATCTGGAGATCCAAGAACGGAAACCATTACGCGAGAATCTCAATGAAATTCTTCCAGAATTCTATTATGAAAAAATACTGTTTTGTGGTTATAGAATTTAAATAGTACCGCTATCAGGGAGACAATTTGGTTTAGTGAGTGGCTGAGAATTACATTAAGATTTAATCAATACCCCCTCACATTCCTTACCAACCCCCCCCCCAAAAAAAAAGAGAAAGAGAGAGACAAATGTCAGTCACACTACAAGGAGACATTCTACATTCATACTAAGTACATTATCACACTGGAGGAGAAAGATGTACTCATGGTTCTAATAAAATTTGTTGTCATGAGAGGTATCAAACTTTACTCAAAAACATTTTATTACAGAGATTAAAGTATACATACACACCTCTCCAGTGTAAATCAGAACCACAACACTACCAATTCTTTTCCCATACCCTCCCTGCCACCTCCCCAGCGCAAAATCAAATGTTATCTCCCTTCAAGAGAATTTTTTTACATAAGATAACAGGCAAGTTCAGAGTAACCATCACATACACGTTCCTGAAATGTTAACTAGTACAAAATTATTTTTATGCTCAAGAAGAGCTCTATCAAATTTAGATAGAAACCTAGCAGGAGTCTGAATAAAGTCTTACCAATTCTCTTAATTAAAATGACACCTCAGTCACAAGCAGTGATGGTGCTGAGTTTCTGCTTCCAAACTCAGCAGTACAAGCTTCCGGTGACTCATATTACCCACCTTAATTATGAGGTAAGTATTATGATTCCTTCCCTCTTCTTCTCTGGCTCAGATGTTAATCTGAATTTTCTCCTATTCCATTTCCATTGCTATTCTAACCTACCCAGGACCATTCTTTTTATGGCACTCATCTTAGAGTTGCTTAAGCAACACAATGAAGAGAGGTAGATATTCTCCTCCCATTGAGCATGCGTTGGAGAAATATGACCCGGGACAATAGGTGGCTTTGCAGCACAAAAGGAGCCCCTTCACTTTCCATTCCAACATGTTGCTGGTGCCCATAGGCATTAAACTGAATCATGTGCTGTCGAGGAACTGGTGTGTAGAGAGGGAAGAAATCCTAGCAAGGACAGGATGGCACTCTTTTTTAATTGGCTGGCTTTTAACAGAATAAGGAGGAGGCAGGTGAAATTGGAACATGATTACAAGAAGCTGTGTAATAACAAATAGAATGTTTTTGGGAAGGTAAGAGCTATGCTGCATCTAAAATCATGAAGGCATCTCCAGTCTAAATTCTTCTCACAAAGATGATTTCCCCTTTCCAAAGATCCAATAGGAATTAATTCAAGGTTAAATCCAAGATTAATATATGCCTAAATACTCCAACACATTCTATTTACTCTACATCAACGTTTTCTAAATCTATAACACTGAAACACAGAAGAGATTAGAAAAATCACAGCTGCATTTTATACAAGAAGGTGACAAATGTAACTGCAGAGAATCTGACAGTGCTTTTGTCCTCCAAGCAAATAAAATTCATTTTTCTCCATATTGGAAATGTTGCAGAGGATACATCCTGTCACTCATAGGGGGCTAAATCCAATCATTAGTCCCAATTAGTTTTGAATTAAGAAGTCCTGCTCTGCTTGGGACAAATTACTGCAGTAGTCCATAGCTATGTGTTTTAAGTTTCACAAAGATGACCAAGCAGTTATGTGCAAACTCACTGACAAAAAGAGTTTTAGGCAGCATTGTCAACCCTTATTTACATAGGGCTGATAATACAAAGACCCATCTAAACAAAAGACTTCATCTAAAGGAGGGATAAGCTCTAGCACCAACTCTGAATTTCTTACATATTATTCTAAGTATATACTAACAAACCTGCAACACTGCTTATGCTATAGCAGCATTTGTGTAGATCAGGCATGGGCAAGCTTTGGTTCTCCAGGTGTTTTAGACTTCAATTCCCACAATTCCTAACAGCTGATAAACTGGCTGGGATTTCTGAGAGTTGAAGTCCAAAACACCTGGAGGTCTAAAGTCTACCCATGCCTGGTCTAAATCATAAACGCTCAAGTTTAGCACATTTTTTTTTTCAAACAAATACTCAACCTCTATTTTGCAATTGTCCAACTAGGATTCCCATGTTCTATGGGATGCACGGAGGAGGTTAAGGACACATGTGTGCTCTTCAGGATTTGGATGTCCTGCCTTGATTTAAATCTAAAGTTTGTTATATGGATAACATGACTAACAAGCACATATTACTGCCTTTGCCAGCAGTTCTTGATTACAGTACTTAAATATAAAGGAGTTTTTCGTGTTGAGACCTCAACATTTTCATTTTATGGTAAAGTCCAGCTGAATCTAAATTTACTGAATATTTAAGACTTATGAACTCAAAACTAGATCCATCTACCTACTTAGCAATATTATTTGCACTATGTTAACTGAATAGTCTTCCATGCCAGACATTCCAATGTATTTAGACATGCTCTGAAAAAGTGAGTTGGTATGTTGGCATTTTCATTTATATTACTAAGTAGTTTACTGACTCATTTATTACAGAATACCCTGAGATATTGGGAAAGCTGTGAACTCTATTGTGCATCAGAAGCAGGTGAAAGAGCGGGGTTTAGTAAACAGAAGCAAGGACTGGGTTAAATTACACTACTGAAGAATCCAGCCTTTGTATCCCAGGAACTTCATCATCTTTTTCCAGTTTAGAAGGCAAACAGCCACTCAATGCAGTTGCATAAATAGCATCAATTCATCCCACATTAAACTACTTTCTTGGCACAATTTATTTTTCCTGACCCAAACAAAAAAGAAAAGCCATTAGCAAATCATTTACAATATTCTATCCTAAGTAGTCCATTTAACAGCCCTATAAAAACATCTTAGAGTCTTAAAAAATGTTCAGGTTATAGATATTAAAACTGCAGTCACCCTTCCAGGAGTTTCAGTTTTCCTTGAAAAAGGTTTCATGTCCTTCTCTATTCATGACACATTCAAACACTTTGCTGAAGGCAACTGTTTGCTATATTGGAAAGTGCCACATACGCTTTAGTTTTTTAAGAAAAATCATGTTATATATTTCAAGACACTAACCAAGCCCTTTGCAGTTATTATTTTTTATTTTTGATTGTTAAGACAAAGGGCAGTGAAGTGGCCTAGCAAACTTCCAAGTTGGTTGTAGATGTTCAAGTTTAGGCCACTTCTTAGAAAATTTCAGCATTTCCTTGCGGCATTAGTAATCCCATAATATAGAGGCTATCTCACTCACTAAAAGTAGGGAATCATGCGAAAAAATAAATTTGAATCTCAAATTTCATAGCATCTTTCCAAAACAGAAAGTATATAAATTTACTTCTTCAGGATGCATGACTGTTTTATGCAGATAGTTGTTTAATGGAAAGATAGAATGATTAGTTAATAAGAGTACTGCAGATTTAATTTCACATCTTGGCTATAGACTGACAAAGAAGTAGTCACCAAATACAGCAACTAGATCTTGTCCAAAGCCAGGGATTAGCTAATGCCCCTCCCCAAATCTTCCCCAAACCCACCCCCTCCCATAGCCCTCTCCACAGTCTCCCAACAAGACAATACTGTTGGCAAATCAAGACAGCATGAAACATACATCAATAGAAACAAAAATGTGACATGTGCCAATGCATCAGGTTAACGATCCCGCTAAATGACACAGTTCTCCACAACAGCATTTCTGCTTTGGAGCCAATTGTACCTTTGCCACTGAGCAATAACATTTACCATTCTGAGCATGCTTTGTGGTACATTTACAAGTGCTTCAATGCTAGAGACAAAGGAGGAGAATGGACACCTGATGTCTTCCCCTGGGACTTCTTTTCAGGAACACAGTGTGACTGCCTCTCAGTGCAGTGACACTCAAAGGTACACCCAACGCTTTAGCACAAATTAAAATATCCAGTTCAGTATGGTGTAAGGCATGTGGACAAGAAGAGATATCAGCAGTATACAACAGGAAGAAAAAGAATTCCACACCAGAAGAAAGCACTGGTGCTTGATGCTCCAGTTCATCTGTTTTAAGCTCATTTTGAATCCCTGATTCCTATATAGAGAGGCTGGAATTCAACTATTTTCTGAGGCCCTATGCCATTAGTGAAGGGTAACCAATTCCTTGTGCTTCTGTCCATTTTCAGTGATGGTATATTTGCTGAAACTGTAGAAAGAATGAAGCAACAGGATGTCTTGAAAGGTGATTGTTGCTTGGCCTCCTCCAAGTGTCACAGTACTAAATTTGGATCAAGGAGTGGGGTACAGGGAATCAAACTGGCCCAGCCACTAGCACTGTCACAAAAAAAACCTTTAAAAAACAAGGCAAAGAAGATTACAAAGCTCTTCTTTATAGAAGCAGCTTAAATTTTAAAATAAATCCTCCAAAATCAAAGTGTTAGGTTTCTCCATCTAAAAAAAGATTACACACATGCGCTGAGAAAGTGGCCACCACACAGATCTCAACAGCAGCTTACTGTACAAAATCTAAGACTTAAAAGATCTGATCTCACATTTGTAGCCTTCTCAAACTGAAAAGATAAAAGTCTGGCTATGGCTGGAACAACACACAGAGGAACATTTCATAAGAGAAGGCAGAAGTGAAGCTAGCAGCCTTGCTCTTCAAGCTGTCAAAATGTTGTTAAACAGGGAAGGGACACTTCATGCACAAGTTGTGGGTTACAAAATACATATCCAAGTAAAAGCAAGAAAACCCCACTTTGCACTAGAATGCAACACTCAAACATTGCTCTGCCAATGGCTGCTGGACATGTCTTGTTTGACAGAGGATGCATGTGAAAGTGGCGAGAAAGGGGGGGGGGAGGGAAATCCAGGTTTCAGTCTACTTTCCCACATCTATTTCTCTTATATGGATATCTTCAATCATCTGATGTCAGACAGTGCACTCTCTTTTGAGAATGATGTGGTCACAACAGGAGTGCCATTGTTAGCCAAATAGCCTTGCCTCAAGGTTTCAAAATATGAGGCCTGCACAGGTTTGTGGTACTGCAGAACCTTTATGGCATCATCTATCTTAAACCATTCCCTTTTTCTTCCTGTAGGTAAACAGAAAGGAGGAAAATTAGCAATGCAGCAAAATAACCAGAGAATTACAATCTTTTCTATAGAGAATTTCAACTGACAAACTGCATGTGTTTCACAAATGCAATATGCTGGTAAAACATCAAACAGCAATAGCTGCCATGTAATGATACCCAAAATGAAAATCCACCCTTTAAAAAGGTAAATCTCTATTAGACTAATACTCTCAAGATTTCAAAAAAACTACTGTCATATTCGATAATTTTCACAGAGAGCAATTAGACCGGAAATAACACATTTTATAAGGAAGGCCCTTGGATAAATAATATGCAACAAGTCAATGGTAGAGAAAGAAAGGATTGGTGTAAAACGTGTATAGAGCATTCCAGGAAGCCTGTAGGTTTGACTTTAAGCTGGATTTGTGTGTAAGTTGGAATAGGTAGATTTTTTAAGTCTATCTCTAGTCAAGGAGAAAATCAGCAAACAAGTAAGAATGGGATGAAAGGAGGAAATGCCTAAAAGTAAACCAGAAATTCTATGATGAGAGTACCACTATAACAATTATGAAATTGTTTTTCAAATACACACAAAACATGAAACAACTAAGGCCTTTAAAAATCCCCATCCTCCAAAAAATGTGGACATGTTCAAGTTAAATATTCTGACTTTCACTTGCACATTTCTTAAAGCAATAGAAGATACTGGGTATCATGCACCTATTAGATCTCAGTCTCAATTCTTTCCACTGCGAGCTAGTAAGAACACGAAAGATGAGGAGAGACTAATGACCTCATCACACATAGTAAAATCAATGTATTGTCGAAGGTTTTCATGGCCGGAATCACTGGGTTGTTGAAGGTTTTTCGGGCTGTATGTTCTTCTAGAACATGGTCATACAGCCTGAAAAACAACCCAGTAAAATAAGTGTTTTTAAGAAATGGCAATCCCTGGTGCCCTTCACATGACGCAAGCTTCAACTATGGGAGTGGGGTATTCTGTCGATTCTAAAGTGTTGGTTTTTCCTACTATTCCTAAGCCAGTTAGCAATAGACTTATTTTTAAATTCCCCGCATAGAGATGGGCAAATATTGCCAATTTCCCCATGTGATGTTAACCCCTGTTGCCTTCTTTTGTTGCCCGCTTGTACATAAAACCATGATGCAGTGTGTGGGAGAAGCCAAAATGCCCATTTCCCCAGATCACCATTGCAGAGCTTGGGGGAAAGGGTTAATTTAAAACCACTTCGCACTATCACATATACTAAAGCTCTAAGAAAGATTAGGGTTAATTTAAAACCACTTCCGAAGACCTGGGGTGATTTTTTAAAAGATAAATATTCAAAATCCTGGAGGGACAATGGGAGGAAATCTCAGTGCAAATGACCCCAGGGAGACTGCCGCCTTAAGGCAGGTGCTTCTGTTTCAGTGGAAAGGTCTTGATTACAAACAACCCCATGGAAAGTGCTGCCTTAAGAAATGTACTTAACTCTGTTTCAATGGAAGGGTCTTGAGTGCAAACGACTCCAGGGAAAGTTTGTGATGAAGTCCCATGGCTGGATCTACACTGCTGTAGATCCCAGGATCTGATCCCAGATTATCTGCTTTGGACTAGATTATATGAGTCTACACTGCTATACATTCTGGGATAAGCAGATAATCTGGGATCAGATCCTGAGATATAGGGCAGTGTGGAAGGAACCTAGGATCTGCTAATTTAATTCTGGCTTTCCCTACCTGCTTTAAGACAGATGATGATGATGATTATTATTATTATGTTTATTATGTTTATTTATACCCAGTTGTTTCTCTTCACAAGGAGACTCAAAGTTGCTCACATTAAAAGCATTTCAATACAATTTGAAACATACAAACATTAAAATAGAATTAAACATCAATGGTACTTAAAAATTCACAGCTGAAATCTATAAAAACATATTCAAAGCTAAAAACCACAGCACACCCCCTGACTTGATTTTTAAAAAACTTCTTTTTAAAAGCCTGCATTAATACAAAGGTTTTAGCCTGTCGACAGAAGGGCAACAGGAAGAGGGCCATTCTGGCTTCCCTGAGCAGGGGTTCCAGAGTCAAGGAGCCTGCTCTCTTGTTCCCACCAACCAAGCTTGAGATGAAGATAAAACCAGGAGAAGGGTCTCTCCTGAAGATCTCAGGGCCTGGGCAGGTTCATATAAGGAGATGAGATCAGCCAAATAGCCTGGACCTGAGCTGTCTAGGGCTTTAAAAAGTCATGACCAGCACTTTGAATTGTGCCCAGAAACAAACTGGCAGCCACTGGAGTTGCTGCAACACAGGGGTGTCTGCTCCCTGTAGCCAGCCCCAGTTAGCAACCTAGCTACAGCTCTTTGAGCCAGCTGAAGTTTCCAAACACTCTTCAAAGGCAGCCCCATGTAGACTGTGTTACAGTAATCCAGATGGGATGTTACTAAGGCATTTACCATTGTGGCCATATCCGGCTTCTCAAGAATCGGTGCAGTTGGCGCACAAGTTTTAACTATGAAAAGGCCCTCTGTAGTGAAATCTACCTTTTAGGCGACCAGGCCGAAGCCTGAAGGACAGTAGCTGTCATCTTGAAAGACAGGCAGAAGCAGGAGGAGGAGTCAAGCCGACATCTGATTGGTCAGAGCAATTAGGGGAGGAGTCGGTTGAGAGAGGGAAAGAGGCTGTCAGCTTTTGACAAGGGGGAGAAGTGTCTTGACATCAGACACAGAAGGAAGGGATTTTTAGGAGAGGAAGCTAAWTAGYYMTCTGACAGGGAAYYAYAGRTTTWAAGTGAGCCTTAAGGAATAGGGAATAAGGTTGRAGACAAGGGKTAGGTTMTTACTGTYTTGAGAGYARCAGTAAKAGAYAGWCTTGTCTTCTTATACTTAGGGAAAGTAMAAGAGAGCTTATTGCRCRGTGTYTGAGACAGATAGGAGTCTGTTCTCTAAGTGATACTGTTTCTAAGAATAGAACAGTGTGTTTAAGGYAACTCACAGTTTWAAAAGCTTTATMGTCAYTMGAACTAKRTGTTTAATKRAWCTAAGTCTCTACAACTGAATCAWGRRTCTGTACCYCTCATTCTATGAGTWGATATTTGTTTKAAGTTRAATAAACCRTTTCTAGTTCACTTTTAACTGGTGTCAGCCTCAGTCTGTCAAARCKTTTTAYAGTCCAGTCAACCAGTAAAAGAGTTACAGAAGAACCAAGGGCAAACACACCTTACCTACAACACATTCACACCTTTGGTTCCTCAGACCAATAAAGCTGAGGTGGTGGCAGCCATATCTACCAGAAACATCGGTCATTGATATATTTAATCTATGGTCAGTCGCTAATTACGTTATACCCTCAATGAAGCAACTAGAATTGGCTTGATTGTTGGACTAGAATAGCAGAAGACCAGGATATGAATTCTCATTCTGCCACAAAAAACTCGTGGGTGACCCTGGGCAAATCACATTCTCTCAGCTGCTGAGGAAGGCAATGGCAAGCCTCCTCTGATTAAATCTTGCCAAGAAAAGTCTGTATCATTGTTGCTACAAGTTAAAATTGACTGAAATACACATCACAACAAACTTCCCACATGGATCACTATAATATGGCATAATCTGAAGTTGTTCTTACACAACATTTTTAAGCTGTGGCTTCTGCCAAATGTGGTGGCCAATAATAGCTGTGGTACACCTCCAGAGAAATTATACCACACCAATCTTCTAAGAACTGTATTGGCTGCTTACTCTGAGTTCAACAGAAGGCACTGGTGCTTAAAACCATAAATGGCTTGAGAGTGAGGCTGCCCATTTTTAAAATATTCAGGGAACACATTTCTCAAATAACAAGTATATAACAAAAACAGATGAAAACTTTCTGTGTTGTGGCACTCCACTATGAAAATGTGCCAATAGTCTAACAATTTTTCAACTCACACAAGAGAATTAAAGAGTATGATTTTAAACTGGCGGAATTTAAAACAATTTAAATGTAAATTTTTGAATGTTTATAATTGTTTTTAACTGTTGTTTAATTATGATTGTTTGATTTGATGTTCGGCATCTAATGGTTGCCTATTGTAAAGCCACCCTGAGTCCTCCCTCGGGTGTGAGAAGGACGAGGAAAATAATAAATAAATAAATAAAAATGGAAGATTGTCATAAACAGACAAAATATTACTCTTTGCTTAAAAAAACCCAGAATAAATACAACCTCTGTTTTGTATTCATTTTCATTTTAAATTAAATTAATTGTAAAAACCATTGGTGTAAATCTAAAGTCAAAATAGAGAAGAGGATTCAGATGTTACTGTCCTACGAAGAATCAACACCACAGGTGATGTATATGTCTTACCAATATTCACAGAGTCCTCCCAATCTTCTAATACTTCTGTGACAATGAGTACGTAAACATATGTTCTGTGTTTCCTCTCTGGATTCTGAAAGGAGAAAAAGATTAAGATGCAAAACCCCAATGCCTGCAAAACACACACACACACACACACACACACACACACACACACACACACTAAAATGAGTGAAGTCTTCTTAAAAATATTTCCTGAAATAAATGCCTTGACAAAATTGACTGACAGACTAGGACTTACACTTGAACAATTTATGGATGATCAGTTTCCTGTCCATGCTTTAAAAGTGCTCAAACTTTAATCCTGTAATTTATATATCGTAATTATAAACATGTTTTTTTTTGTTTCTGACAATTTCTACTTACCTCAAAAATTCCTACTAATCTTCCTAATGTCCCTTTCACTCCAGCCTATGAAAAGTTCAGAGAAAGAAAAAAATGTAATTAGAATTCTTACTTACAGCTCAACTATTTATTTTAATATAATCCACAATACATATGATGTGGGAGATCTATGATCAAAACCTCTCAACACCTTTTTCAAAGCCGAAGAAAGAACTTGGGGGGGGGGGGGGGGGGGGGGGGGGTTGAATATCAAATATAAAAAATCTGGGGGGAGGCTTGGACACCCGCTAATCCACTGTCACTGCTCTAACACGTGTTGGCTGCTTTTAGGTCTTAAAGAGAAAGACACTGAGACCCAAACACAAATCTCCCATGTCATATGTAGCTTGGCCTTTTGACTAACAGGTTTATAAATAAAGGGGGGGGGGGGGGAGAGAATACTGCAAGTGTCAATTCATGTAAAATAATATGAGTAAAGGGACTGACATTAACTCAGCATATTCGTAAATGAATATGTTAAGCGTTTCTGCCACTTGATACCTTAATTTTAAAACAGAACAGATTTTATCAGTAAAGTCAAGACCTTATGGAATAAAAGATAAAACAATCTCATAGATCAGTGTCACATTCCAGCATTAAAACACTTTCAATCTTCATACCCAAGTTATTTTGGCTATTTTATTTTTTAAAATAAATTCCAAATGGAATACACACATGATAATCCACATGGAAATCATCTGTTAAGAAACTCATCCTCAGCAAGCCTTGTTAAAATGAATGCAAACTGTGCAAATCATATTAGGGCACCTTTGTAGGTTCAATTTATTTTAGCACAACTTGCACAAATAGATCTACTAGCGAATTGCATGCCATGTTTCAGATCTGCTTCTCTTAAAATCACTGAAAATCCAATAGTGAGAGAGCTGCCCCACTGATTAGCTGTATTTTGTTGTAAGTGATGAATCTCCATATAGAATGAACACAATAAATACTGAATAATAAAAAACAAGCAAGCATACTATGTGTACATTTGTTTCTACAGCCAAATCGGGGGAGTTTTCTGCTCAGATGCATCTTATTAAATTGTTTGTTACTTAAAAATAACTAGCCCAGTTTGCAATCAGGCCAAGTTCAACATATTGTTGTTACTACATAAAGAACACAATTATGTGAAATCAGGATATCTCCCACATATCTCCCACGTCAAGGTGTCTAGTCCATATAGGTCTGAGGTTTACTGGGGACCAGTGGAAGCAGAACTTTTTGAAGTGCTGCTTCCCAGGTGATGTCGTATATGTTCCAGCTTTGCTTCTGTCACATGCTTCAGCCATTTTTCACAATAAGACTGAAATATACCTCTCCAGAAAGAAATATGCATCAAGGAGTAAAATGTTATCATATTTTTATCTGATGTGTTATTAAACCTACTTTCAATTTCTCCCTAACTATTCTAAAAAGTCTTGCAATTCTTATATACTGTAGTAAAAAGAGAATCACAACATCAGCAATATGTCATCTGAATGAATTCTTTCTAAGAGGTTCGGGGCCTGTTATAGTATAGAATATAGCTGGATAATATTAGTTATAAGGCCTATATATAAACCTGGCCAACACTGTTCCCAATCTAGTAGTTTGCTGTGTCTCCTTGTTGGGCTGAGAGAAAAGCTATATGTAAGACTTAAGTGTTATGACTTAATATTCTCAAACAACATTCCCTCTCATTTACAGCCAACTCAGGTCACAGAGAAAGTGTTAAACCCTGTCTCCCGCTGAGCAAAGAAGAATCCAAAGCTGGATTGATACCTTGCCCTCTTAGACATGCCAACTTGTAAGTGAGCTTAATATACAAGATTGCTACACAGGGTCTTCACTGATTGCTACTAACCATAGAATACACAAAACTGAGGTTCATGTCACTTTCTTCATATACTGTCTGTATTATGCCAAAATAATTAAAGCATTCCAGCCACATCCATAAGCTGGGTTACTAGTAAGTGACAATACTTCTATAAACAAATGCAACTGTTCCTAATATTTATAATAGTTCAGTTCAAACATTTAACCAGTCAATTTTGAATGTCATGCACATTTTTTCCCCAAAATTACTAGCCTCAACAAAAAGTGTAAGTTTCTTTTCTATGAAGCTCTTTGCAATTTTGCCCGGAGAACACTCCTAGTATTGCCGAAGATCCTGCAGCAAAAGACATACTTGTTTCACACAACTACATCTGATGATACTACCCCACCCCCAAAGCCTCTTGTAAACCTGTCATCCACCACAATATGGCCATTTCTGGGCTGCTAAAGCAGAAAAATCAGCAGCAACACATGCAGTGATGATTTATTTATTTATTTATTTGGCTGTATGCATGCTACAGGTACATGCAGGGACCTCCACAGGTCCTGGAAACAACCTTGCACATTATATTCTTGCCACCTGTTCCTATAAAGGAAATTAATTTAATATGTTGTTGCTGATTGCCCCCTCCATTGCCCTCTAACAACTCTAAAATGGCTGTGCTGGAGGACTGTATAGCTTACAACGCGGGTAGAAGAGGACTGGTCATTGTGTTTGGAAGAGAATGCTAACCTGTGAAATGGCCAAAAACTGGGTTACAATAATGTAAGATAAATTTACACCATTGTAGACCACTAATAGGATATCAACCATGGTTTGAATAATCATGAATCTCGACAAGATCAACAAAGGGCTGAACTAGATGTTACACATACATATTGCATTTTTCAGAGATGTTACTGTACTTATTGCAACAAAATCAACAAAAAGTTTTGTAATGGCATGGGTTTTTTTCTGGATTATACTCCATCAGATCTATGAAATGTTAAGTGTGTAAATATAATGAATTAATTTATTGATCAATTAAAACATTTATATCCTGTTGTGTGTCACAAGATCTCGTTGTGGTATATCAATTAAATCACATTTCAACCATTTAAAGCCATTTAAACATTAAAATAGCAGGAATAATTTATAAACAAATTGGTATTTTAAATTTAGAAATGTTTAAACATTTTCCCAAGATGCACAGCCTGAAAATAACAACTGAACAATGAGAAGAAAGTAATACATATCACTGGCAGCTAACACAAATGTATTTTGGAAACTTACCTCTTCACAAACTTCCCGTACAGCAGCCACACTGGGCTCTTCTTCAGGCTCCATACCACCTCCTGGAACAATCCATCTATCTGGATGACGACTACTGCTCACTAACAATACCTACCAATAAAAACATAGTTTATGATTATAGTGTATACATTTCATTATATAACTGGTACAATCTCATAATATAAACTTGCCAATAATGATAGGTTGGCTAATTTCCAAAATCTGTTGGCGTAAGCAGGAGCTTGGTTTCAAAATATGGACCACTTCTACACTTGCCAAATGAAAATAAATGAGCTCCAGAAATGCCAGACAATCCTGGAAAGTGATGCAAGCTTGACAAGAACATTCCAAGCAGGAGAGAAATATCACCTATTTCATAGGACTCAAAATATAACTGCAATGAAATTCAAACATACTCTTTTGTTACTGAGTTCTGACTGGATAATGACATATCTCAGCTAATAAAGCCTCGGGCAAAGATGCTCTGTTAATAGAATTGATTCAGTATTCTTATTCCGTATGAGTAGGTCTATATAAGAATGTAATACCAACTTTTTTTAAAAAAGCAAAACAAAATCTTCCATACTCTTCATATCTCCAAATTTATGAGCGCTAAACCAGAATTTCATATATTGTTCAAACCAGGCCTTTTTGCAAAAAGCCATTACACCCTAAAGATGCTTTTTAATACTATACTTCACATTTTTTCTCTAGCTGCCTTTATTTCAGAAGCACAACTTCGTTATTATTTATTCTCCCAGAGAAAAAGGGGGGGGGGGGGGAACAAAGAAAGAGAAGAGGAGAGAGATGTCTTACTGAAAAGCTTGTAATCTGTATCCTCCAGTGAATTGCTGGTTCTGCAAATGGACTCTCCTTTCTGACACTTGGTAAACTTTTTACTACCAACAGTTACTTACACCAATGCAATAAAGCATCCTTCACCTCTGAAGAAAATGATCAGACCACAGAATTCTGAACTGAAAGCTGAAAGGATAGAGGCCTATCATTTAGGTTATTGTTTGCAAATTAGAACTGGAATCTGAATTGGTACCTTTCACATCAAAGTGAGTAGAAAGGAAGTATGTGTGCTGTTTAGTTTAAAAGTACATCAACACAAAAAGGGGTCCCACCATATGCCTTTGCTCATGAGTACTTGACACGGAATCTCAAATTTAACTATCTGCTTTATGTGCAGGTTTATGTATTAAAAAGTTCATTTTCAAATATCATAAAACCAACAAACAAGGTTCTCATTTAAATATCAGTCTTTTGGAAAAGTGATTATCTACTGTCCAAAAAAATGGAGATCTAAATTATAATCTTTACTTAATTATAAAATGCTGTTTGTTATGACACTTGAAAATGAACAACTATAAATAGAAAAAGGATTTAACTTTAAGCAATGTAAAGCAGAGCTCTACACCTTAAATCCTTCTGAACCACTATCTCCAAATGTCTACCTTGCTAAATATAGCTGACTTGGGAATGTGAACACTGTTCAGGTGAGAAGGGGGCACATTAGCTACCCTTTTGCTAAAACTCATAGGGTTTGATCTAGACTAAGCTGAGGTACCACCGCTTCTAACTGGAAGTATGCTCCACACACTCCAGCACCAGGCAGATGCTTTTCCTTTACTTTAACAATTACATTTAACAAAAAAGAAGAAAGTAAAACCTAGCACAAGTAACACATCCTAAAAGTTATTTTTAATATATCCAGTCTTAATAATAAAAGACCAGGTTAAAGAGTGAGAATGATTTGAAAACAATTACAACACAGACTATTCTGAACTAAATCTTCAAAATGCGTGGAATATCCAAAACTCAAACAGGCTTGGAAAATCCTTCGTACTAATCACCTGAATTTGGCATTGAGAAATCTGAATTATTTTCAAGCCTGAGCAGAAGAACAAAATAAAACGTAAATGTTTTTAACACAGAATCTTACTTTCTACTTATTACTTTGCGAAGTGTGAAGAATATATTTCTCATATTATTTCTAAATCATTTTCTGACAAATTGCACTAAATGCAATTTCAAACTAAATTAAGAACACAACATTCTTAATACAGACATGCCTATGTCAACAAAGCCTTTAAAAAAGAAATTTCTTTTCACAGTAGTTTTATGCACACCCAGTTGCCTTCCCATTTTGAAGTTAGGAACTTTAAGTGACATGTCCAAAATGTTTTCATTTACTCGTGGGCTTATCTGACCTGGTTGTCTCATTTTACATATTCATATTGTTAGTTTAAGATAAAAAAAAATGTTGAATCGTGTTGAACTTTGTTCTGGTCCAGGAATGTATAGTCTTTCCATGCTATCTCTGCCTTTAGTACCACATTTTCTATTAAACAAGTAACACCTAGGAACACATGTACTTCATTACCTGAGGTATACTTGTACCAGACTGAGAACAATAAACAAAACCAGAGTACTGTATCAAATAATTTAAAATCACTGTATTGCATTACTTAGCTATCATGTATAGTCTCATTTTCTATGTTCTGACACTTAAAATACATTAAATGAAATATTTCCACATTAAGCCTTTGTTCAATATCTCTAAACTGAACAAGGCATGTGGCCATACAAGTTCCCAACCTTTGTTCCTGTTAACCTAGACTTTAATGGTGGCAGAGCATATAGAAGGGCACGGACTATGAATATTTGTTTTCTCTAATAGCAGCATTTAGGTGGGCATTCTAGTCAAATAATTGAGATGACTTTTCATCAATTTTGCTGAAAAGGTAAGAGGCAACATCGCATGTTCCTCTCTAGCAAAATAAAACACTTGATACATTGGTTGACATCACATAAAAATAATTTAATTATTAAAAACTTTAACAAGTGGGATCTTTCTCGGTTTGTAATTTCAAGTGCTGTAACTATCTTCTTCTCAGTAAGGCATTATGTAAATTTGTGAAAAAATATCCCAGAACAAGACCAAACCTGATATTAGGATACTCCTATGTCAGGCTGACATCTATATGATATTACTATGTGACAATGTGCAACTTAATGTTATGCATTCCCACAAGAATTCAACAAAATATGAGTCTTCCATAAAAGTCATGGCTTACACATTAAAAAGCTGACCAGCTCTTTTCCTCAGACAACTCTGCAAAAAGAATTTTAAAAACCTTGGTCACTTCGTATTCATTTGTAAATTCAACAATAATTAACAAAAAAACACTTCTTCCAGCATTGCTAATCTAAAAAGCCCTTCAAAAGAGTTCAACCATTTCCAAGTGACATGATGAAGGCTTGACATCAAATGAGTGGTATTAAAAGAAACAAAAGAACTAACTCTTCACACTAATTTCTTCTCAGGACCAGTATTGTTAACAGAGTAAATGAGCAGCACTGAAGAATGTTTAATTGTTGTGCTGCAGTTCCGGCTGTACTTTGGAGCTAAATGGGAATGCTACCCTAAGTGTGAAAGCTATACTAATCTGGAACAACTTACTATTACATGAATAATTCACAGTAAGATAAGGGAAAGCAAATGTTTAAGACTGTGCAGTTCATATCCTACATTAATTCTGGGGGAGGGCCTTACTTCTGGCTTTAATGGGAGAGTTCAAGACTTGGCTGTTTGGTTGTGCATTTAAGTAATCAGATCTCATTTGCCAAATAGTCACTGTTGAATGTTTTTATGCTGAATGTTTTTATATTGTGAAATGCTATTTTAAATTGTAAGTCGCTCGGAGCACCTTGGTGGAGAGCAACTAATTAAGAAATAAAGTGAAGTGAAGTGAAGTTCTTACTGCACAAATGAAAGCCACCATCCCAGAACACAGCAAAGAAGGGATGGTAAAACCACTCTGCACCCGTTCAGCACAATGCTTCACTGATAACTACAGATATCTAACAGATAGCTCTTCTATGGGATGATCCCAATTCTATAACATAGACAGTCTTGGGAAAACCTCATGCAATCCAAATTAGTTTCACATAAATTCTGTGATTACAAAGAAGCTTTGAGGTAAAATTTACAAATATAAGTCACTTCTTATATCATAATGTGCAAACCAAAAATTAAAATACTGGTGTTAGTAAACCAATAAATAGACCATTATTTGGCAGAGATATTTTTGTTTTGCAAGTTTTGATTTGGCCATCACAAACAACAGCCGTCTAAATCTCTGCTTTTAAAAATGACATCCATGTTTCCACTTAAACAATAGTTTACTAAATCGTGATGAAATTACAGGCATCCACAAATATTTTAAAGGCTCTCAAGAAGGTGGGGGATGAAAAGGAGAAAGACTTTCTCCCTTTCCAGAGTCTAGTCCAATACCCAAAGAAAATATCTTCTTCCTGATTTACCTTCTAAGAGCACTTGTAGTGTCTCCTCCTCCTTATTATAGGGTAACCATACATATCCAACAGTGATTAATACTGGCAGAAAGAATAAAATGCAGCAGTCTAGTTTTTTACATTTGATAGAGGATCAGCTGTTCACAAAAATATATGATAAAACAAATGGAGAGAGAAAAAGTACAAAAAGGGGGATTGCTTAGAATTATAGGCATAGTTTATATGAGAGAAAGTTTGTAAGAACACACCCCTGTAACACCAAACTACATACATTTGGGCTGATCTAATGACCTTTTGTTTCTTCCACAGAGATAAATCAAGCAGCTTTGGAAGGTAACACATTTATTTATTTTCCTGTTCTGTATGTAAATTAGCTTAAATAGTAAGTCATTTACATCTCTTCCCAGCTCAATTGCCTTGTTTTAAGTTACCCATTAGCAAAACTACTAGTACCACTTCTTCTTCCCACTCTCCCATTCTGCTTCTTCACAATTTACATGCATCAGGAATACTGAATTAGCTTCTGTAGTAAACTGCAACCATTCTTCCTGCAGTGCTCGCTAGCCCACACTAACAATGGCTTGAACACTAAATGTTCCAGGTTAACATGCATTTGAGATCTTTTGGACATTGGCTTTCCTGTTTCCTGTTTCTGATCAATTAGGGAAATCAACTATTTCACAGAATCATAGGGTTGAAAGAGACCACAAAGGCCATTTAATCCAACTCTGTCATACAGAAAGACACAATCAAGGCACTCCCAACAGATGGCCATCCAGCCTGTTTAA